GTTGAACTGGAGCGGGTCTCGAACACCTTGTCCTTGTCCCCATCCTCGTTCTCATCTTCCTATATCTTCTCCTCTTCCTCTCCTCCCGTCAATTTTGAAGGCATGCTGGAAGCCTCCGGGGGGCTTCTTGGGTAATTTGTTTCCATGCGTTTCCCCTGAGACATCCTCGCAGCATGGACATGTTGAGGCTATGCCACGACGTTGTTTCTCGACAGTGAGGCTGTCGTTATAGACATCGTCAGAACACGGAGATGTTGAAATATGTAGCTATTCAACATCGCTCCCGATTGACAAACACATTGTGTTCCCTCCTATTCGTTTGGGTCCCGCGCTTGCCTACGTATCGGCAGTTGGGTTGCACTGGCCTGTTGAGGATCCTCCTCCACCCCTTTTCTCGTACCTTCTCCTCCTAATGTGTCCTCCACTCCTCGCTCGCCGTTGTCGGCCGTAGCTGGAGCTATCCTTGGGGCAGCGGGACCGACTTGGCAGTCCTTTCGGGATACGATCCGTGTGTCCATAGTTGTTCCTATGCAGTCTTTCGGGGAGCGCTCGTCCATAGTTGTCCCTTTGTGGCTTCTTGAAGCTTCGGGGAGCTACCTGGACGATCTGTGATGTTAATTGCTGCAAGCTCTTGCGTATGCTCTTCAATATTACGCGCTTCCCGTTAATGTCAATAATGGTTTGAACACCTGCGTTTCGCATGATAAGCCCTCACAACATCGAAATGTTGGAGGTTACATTATTTTGCGACGACGTTTCTAACGCATGACACCCTTGCGGCAGAGTGCCCTACACAGCCTTACACCTCGGCGATGTGGGACCATGAGGGGGGGATCCAGATGTAGGGCTATAGATAAAACGGGGCACAGGGAGAGGGATCGGGATGGGGGCAGTGATCGTACAACTAAGACAGCACAGGGATACAGGTAGCATGGACAAACATGGGGATCTGGGCAAAGGGACAGGGATGGGAACGGCACTGGGAGACCACGGCAGGCCGCGTCGCCCGGCCGATTCCGGATCCAGCGGTCCACCTCTTGGCAATAAGAGTTGGAGGCCATGGGAGGCGACGTCAGCCCGACCGATTCCGAATTTGGCAGTCTTTATTTTTCGGACACATCGTACAGAACCCTTACAGACAAGCTGTCTAGGGAATGCGGCTCGGGAGCTGACGATGGGCAATTCAATCGCGAGATCGTCTCGTCTTCAGGACTGGTGCTCTCGCACGAGACACCCTGGAATAAACGTGATGACAGGATATGTAATCCTTGGATGCATTATTGGAGGTTTCTCGGAGGATCCCCAATACAGCCCGAACATTAATACCATAAAACACCATCAAGCACTTTGGCGTTTCTTTCGGGACCTCATCACGCACTCACTGATTTTGGAGGGGCCTTCGAAGTATCATTGTGGTGTTCAACGTTCTAGGTGCTCCCCTGTGTACGGAAAGTTTCAAATTAGTGTAACCCAGTACAGCTTTTTCAAGCAACATGAGTGGTTCAACACTTGTGTCTTCGGTCGGAGGTCAGATAAAGGCAGTAGTTTAGCATCTGTCCTGGCCGAACAAGACTATGTCTACCCCATGATACACGAGCCCCAGCCCGCCCACGTAGCGCAGTTGGGGCCATCTGGGTTGCACTGCCTTGCTGAGGCTTCTCGTCCACCTCTTCTCTTCGAACATCGGAGAGGCCGCACGGCTGGCTCCTCCGACCATGATAGGGGGGACCATGCGTCCATTGGAAGGCCGCGAGGGTCGAGGAGCGCACGAAGGCAGGCCGAGGACTGTCTTAGAGCAGCGTGAAGAGCACCGGCCAGGAGACAGAACGCCGTAGTTTTCGGCCCAGGATCGTGGACCAGAGACCTCTTGAGAGCACACGGGGGTCTCTCGGGATGCTTCTCGGAGGCATCCTGGAGGGCTCGCGAGAGCTTCTCGGAGGGAACTCGGGGGGCCTCTTGGAGCCTCCTGGGAGCCTCTTGGGTCCCCCTTCGAGAGCCTCTTTGTGGCCCTCGTGGGCAGTCTTGAGGGCCTGTTGGCGGGCTCGTGGGTCATCTTGGGACAAAGGGCTCGACTTGTCGATTCATGTTCCCCCTCTTGCGGCCCCGGTGGGCAGTCTTGGGGGCCCAATGAGCCTCCTCTGGGCCCTCTTGGCTCGTCTTGTGGCCCTCTTTGGGCACCTTGGGCCGATTCGGGCGATCTTGAGGGCCCCTGGGGCCGTCTTGGAACGCCTGGAGACCGAACAGGCGAGCACGCTAACATCGGTCAACACGCATTAGGAACACCAGTGATGGTTGCCGCTTCGGGACCTCGTGGGTCCTTTGGAACCGTCTTGGACCACCTTGTTGCCTTCTTGAGTGGTATTGAGGCTCTCGTAGCCGCTACGTAGCCGTCCGTGGGGCTGCTTGGGAGCGTCTTGGGCTACAAGGATTTCTGACTGAGGCCGTTCGCTGGTACAGTGGAGCTCTGCTTCGGACACCAGGGGATTGTTAAATATACTGCTTGGCAGTCCTTTTGGGGCCCGATCCGTGTGTCAATAGTTGTTCCTTTGTGCTCGTTTGGGGAGTGTGTGTCCATAGTTGTCCCTTGGTGGACGTTCGGGGAGCTAGCCGGCACGGTATGTGATACCTGTGTCGTTCCACGCTCTTGGACATGCCGCGTGTCCCGTTAATGTCAAGAGCGGTTACCGAACAGAGGCGATCTGTTTACACCATGGAGAGACAAATCCCAGTTCGGTTTGAGACGTTCTCACAGCATGGAGGGAGTTATGTGTTACGACGCCGTTTCTAAACCATCGGGCTATTGCCAGAGACATCCTCAGAACATGTGAACTCGTTGTCGATTCCTGGATATCTTCACACTGGGGCTCTCGCCAGCTCCATCCTCAAGTCAATTGGATGCCAGAAGCGGTGCTTCCCGCTACCTTCTCGACGTTTTCTTGGAGGACCCCAAGGCAGCCCGATATTCAAGATCATTAGAGAGCCACTGTTGCTAAATCATGTTTTCAAGTGCAGGCGAGTCGCTCGAGACACCCTGGCATGATCATGTCGGACGGGCCTTTTGAAACTATGAAGTCCGTTGGAAACCACAGTGGTGTCCTTCCTCGGCTTCCTCTTCCTCCTCCCATGCAATGTCTCACCGTTTGCCGCACGCGTACGCTCTGGCAGCCGCCCTGGTGCCCCCCCCCACCGCGCCTTCACGGCGCCAGGCATGCGGAGCCGTACAGCCGCAGCTGCAGCCGTATCTGTATAATAGTGTCCCGTGTTCTCCGCAGTGCTTTTGGCCTTCGGTTTGAGGTCTGGAGAAGGCATCGGTATCGGTTGTTGTGTTGACTCTTGTCCGCGTTGGTCCCAAGCGCGCCCACATACAGCAGTTGGGGGCTCTTGGCTTGCTCTGGTCTGCTGAGGTTCCTCCTCAACCGAACATTTTCTCATGTTTCCTCGGCCGTCTCAAGTTTAAAGCAACCACGCTGTGTTTCGACTGCGACGACCTTGAGAGCTTCGTCCTCCTTCTCGTTCTACCCGTTCTTCCCTCATTCACGTTGTCCTCCTCGTCGCTCACTCTGCCGTCCTCCTATCCCTCCTCGTCGGAATTGTCGTCTTTCTCCTTCTCGCGCTCGTTCTCCTCGTATTCATCCCCAGGGTCCTTGTGCTAGTATTCCTTGTAGTCCTCCTGTCCTCCTCTGAAGTTCCCCCTCCACGTCCACGCTGTCCTTCTCTCCCCGCTCGCTTCCTCTCGTCGACCCTCCTCTCCCCGTTTTCTTCTTCGTATTACGAGCCAGGGCGGACAACAGCGGCGCGTCCCTCTCTTGTGCGTCCGGGTGCGTCCAGGTTCTAAAACACGTTCCAGCGTGCCATCGGCCTGGAGGCGGATTCGACGACGTGTGCAGCGCAATTCGGCAGGTCCAGGCCGAACATCCCCGGCAGCGTTTGGTTTTCAGTGTGTGGTGCTTCGCAGTGAGCGTGGCTCTTGTAGTCGTCACCGGTTTGTGGATACGCCGCCCAACGTTCGGCCTGGCGGTGGCGGTTGGTCTTGCCTTCGAGATATACTTCTTCAATGTGTTTCACGTGCGGCACCATTTGGGAGGCAGGCTTTTCAAGCATGACCTCCTCGACGACATGTTCGACCCTTTGTACACGTTTCTTGATTATGTTTATGGTTACAGGCCACCAGCATGGCACATCAACCATCACACCCGGCATCACATACATACCAACACGGACAAGGATCCCGACGTCCCTGGTTCTTACCCAGGCATGCGCGCCAGCGAAGACCAACCGTTGCAGTGGTTTCACAAATATCAAACTTTTTACGTTCCGCTGGCGTTACCTTTTGTAATACCCATGCTGCCCTTTTACAATGTCCTCGCGTCGGGTGGCAGCATCGCGGCTTTGATGGCATGGCTAGGAACTTGGTGGGCGATGTTCTATTTGCACGGATGGTACGGCATTGGTCAGTATTGTTTTATGTACGGCGTTGCAAGTGTTTCGATTACATACAAGTTTCTCGTCTCCCACGTCCACCCTGCTCTCGGATTTGCGCACAGCGATCCGCCTGGGGCACAGACAATGGATGTGTGGATGCGGCAACAGATTGAGGAGTCGATGACGTGGGGAGGGTATGTGGGCAGCTTCCTCTTCGGTGGCATAAACACCCAGATTGAGCACCACATCAGCCCTGCACTCGTGCCCACATTTCATCCTTTCTTGCGGCCACATCTGCAACGCATCTGCGAGAAGCATGGCATCAACTACACCTATGAGCCGACCATGATGCACGCCGTGTGGCAATTTCACAAGCACTTGTGGGCTTTGGGTCAAAGATCCTCTCCCAGGCCGTGAATCAGTTCTTCCGCACCATTCTTTCACAAGGGCGGGTAGTGTTCATCCGCGAAACTCGGCCCCGGGATCCCTGGGCCATTCCCCCCCCGGGGCACCAACGACACCGGCAAGTATTCCCTCCATTCTTGGAGCCCTCCTAGCGCCTCTGGGCTAACACGGGAGGTTCCAATAGCCCCAAGGATGGCCCGAGTGCTTGCCTCGATGTCCCAAGAGAGCCTCTACACGATTCCAAGAGGGCCGAAGAGGTTTCAAGGTTAGCCTCGTAGAGTCCCAAGGGACCACAAGAGGGCAACAATGATCAGTCAAGCCCAGCTGGACCTCCGCAGGTTTTCAATATGCAGGGAGCCCGTTTTTTTTGTTATTTGTTTTACGTGTGGCTCCAAGAGGGGCTTGGGAGAGCCAGTGAGCCTCCGAAGGGCTCCAAGAGAGCTTTATGATGGCCCAGGACCGCCTCGGGAGGAGCAGAGAGTCCAGGACGACCTCTAAGGCTCCGAGGTGCGCCAGAAAAGGCTCCACGCGGGCTCTGAGAGAGCGCCTCCAAAGACTCCAGGAGTGGCCCCAGAAGACCCCCCAGAGGCCACACGCATGGATTTCCCAGGGCCTCGTGTCGTTTGGGCCCTGTTGCCGTGTTCAAGGCTCCACGCTGGCTCTGAGAGAGCGCCTCCAAAGACTCCAGGAGTGGCCCCAGAAGACCCCCAAGAGGCCACACGCATGGATTTCCCAGGGCCTCGTGTCGTTTGGTCCCCGTTGCCGTGTTGGACGTCCAGGCGCAAAAAGGCTCCACGCTGGCCCCGAGAGAGCGCCTCCAGAGACTCCAAAGAGTGGCCCCAGAAGACCCCCCCGAAGGCCACGCGCATGGATTCCCCGGGGCCTCGCGTCGTTAGGGCCCTGTTGCCGTGCTGGACGTCCAGGCGCACACACTGGCCCAGTATGCCGCCGACGTCACCCCACGCCCAAAAGGGTAATGCCGCCTATTCTAGGGGGCCACATGCGAACCCTACCCCTACCCCCCACGATTTCTGAAGGGGGTAGGGGTAGGGTTCGCATGTGGCCCCCTATATTCGGCCCGAGCCGAGGGGCCCAGCAGATGCTTCCATACGTCCCGAAGATTCCCAGGCGTAGCCTCGAGGGCCGCCCAGAGGTGCCCTCCAGAACGGCTCCAAGAGGCCCCAAGGAGCGCGCCAGCGGTGTTGCAAGCTCCCCCCAACAGGGCCCCACGATACCGAAGATGAGCTTCAAATTTGGGCCCCCCGACCGCGATCCCCACGAGGATCCGAAGAGGCGACATCGTTGAATCTCATTCGTTCTACCTCAGGCCTTCTTGGGGTCTTCACGGCTCACTGGCTGCCCCAGATGCCCCCGACAGGTTTCAAATCACAGCCCCCCTGTGGGCCCTGGACCAAATTATGTGCCCGCGGGCCTTGGCGTAGCTTGTTCCGTAGGCCCTCGCGGGAGCTCTTGGAGCTCTCGTGGATGCCGCTTCTCACGTCGTCTTTTCCCCCCCCCCGCGCTCGGCGATCTCAGGCAGCGTGGTGCCTCTTAATCGGTCTACGCCGCACGGAACCACGATAACGATCAAGAGCGCATGGAGGAGGTGAAAGATGAGGGTGAGGAGGACGGATGACATTGTGAAGGACGGCGACTGACAAAGCTCGCAGTGGCAGGCGTTCTCCAGGGTCCTATCTATGATTTCAGTGCGCGCGAAGCGATCGCGAGCCGGGGGGAAGGATGGGGAAAGAGAAGCCGCAGACACCAAGGAAGAAGAAAGCAGGGCGAACCACGAAGAGGAAGGGGAGGGAGATGACTGGAAGGACCGGCAGGTGAAGGGAAGAGGAAGGAAAGGCCTGGAGCACGATTTGGCGTCGGAGTAGGACGAGGATCAGCCCAGTGCCTTGGACCAGGACCTGGCCGAGCGCGAAGCGCGCGTGGTTGTACTCCTTGTGCACTTACATCCGTGCTTGTGTCGTCCTTGCCGGTTCACCACGGTCCCAAAGTCGCCTCCTTGCGGCCTTCTGGCCCTCTCGAATGGAGAGATCCGGGAGGGGCCGGGAGAGATGTAAAGACGGCCTTCACGCGGCCCAGGAGGCGTTCAGATGGACCCAAGTCCCAAGCCGAGCACAGGGTGCGCAACCTGAGCAGTTCCAAGGCAGCTCATTAGACGGTCTCGAGACCCCCCCTTGACAGCTCCAGGCCAGGGCTCCTGGAACGACGAAGAGCCCCCCCAGAAAGCCCCTAGACGTTCAAAGTTGTAACGATCCAGGACACATTTCTTGGGTCGGAAGCCTTCCGAAGACTCGACGTCGCCCTAGAAGTTGCCTTCACGTGGCGCTCACCAGAAAGATCATACACTTCAGTGCGTTTGTGTGTGGTTGCGTAGTTGCGTACGGTGTGTCTTGTGCAGGCCTGTGTGCACTCGTGGCGGAGCAGTGAGTCGTCCATGTTGGACAAGGCAGGCGGAATTGACGCATCCTTGCGTTTTGAATACCTCTCTCCCAACGGAAACAAAAAGTCCTGGCACTTCTGAGTGGGCGCCACAAACGCCCTGGCCATTATCGACTGCGCTGTCGCTTCACCACCCCCAGCATTCTGTGACCGGCGATCAGGAGGCACAGGGGCGGCCCGCTTCCCCCCCCGTGATTCCCCCCTTCTTTTTTGATTTTCCCAAAGCTCCCTCCCACAATTCCTCCCCTCCTTTCTCGTGTCGAGCTGAACATATGTTTTGTTTCGCGCTCTGCCATGCCTGTACACTCTCGGTTAAATAACCAGAGAAGTTTCGCAGCACGTGGCCGCGTCTAGTAGTATAGAGATCCTGCCACAGTATTTTTGTGTCGGCTCATCACAGATGTGCCGATCAGTGCTTGGCACGCTTTCAGTGTGCCGCCAAATAGTCTAAAGCGTGCTCATCGAAGTAGGCAGTGCAATTTTGTTATGCTCGATGTCAAACAAGACTGTTGGCCCCAGAACCCGTTCCGGCTGCTCTTCTAGAGGGGCTAATTCAGTTTCCAGGGGGGTCCAGGATGCTTCAGGATGGTGGTTAGAGATCGCCAAGATGGCTGGGAAAGCCCAAGACGTTTCCAGGGTTACCCCCAATAGAGCACAAGAGTCCTCACGAGCTGTTCCAGGAGGTCCCAAGATAGTCCTCGGACGCCCAGCACCCATCAGCACCCGTTTCTCTTTCTCGTGTGCTTTGGCCCCCACGGCTTCCTTCAGCAGTCTAAGTAAGCGGTGCCCTGGGGCATGGGGGGGAAGTGAGGATGAGGAGGAGGAGGAGGGGGAGGAGGGAGGAGGAGGAGGAGGAGGAGGAGGAGGAGAGGAGGAGGGGGAGGAGGAGGAGGAGGAGGAGGAGGAGAGGAGGAGGAGGAGGAGGAGGAGGAGGAGGAGGAGGAGGAGGAGGAGGAGGAGGAGGAGGCCTGGGGAGCCACCCCAGAGGCCCAGGGGCGCGGGCCCTCCCCGCCCGCGTGCGCGCCCGCCCCGCCGCTGGGAGCCCTGCCTCTGCGCGGTCCCTCGCGGCAGGCCGCGCTCGCAGGACGACCCCCGCCGCTGCAGGCTCGTGCCTCGTCAAGCGCGGCGGCGACGCCGGCGTGAGCGCTCGGTGCCGAAGGCCGCGGGTGGCCCAGGGTCGGCCAAGGCCGCGCGATCGGCGCCGCCAGCACGCCGCGCTCGTTCCAGGGTGGAACGATCCGCGCGGCGTCAGAGGACGAGGTCGGCGCCGCCGCGGCACGAGCCCGCCGCACGTAGCAAGGAGCATTGCATCCTCCTCCTCATCCTCCTCCTCCTCCTATTTCGCTGTTTGCGGGGTCACGAGCACACCGACCGTACCTCATGTACAGTCGTACAGCAGTGATTTCGCGCCCCCACACCCGCTCGCCTCAGGGGCAGGGGGGACTGGGGAACACTCATGGCGACGACCGCTTGACCCGGCCTACTAGTCTGCGGATCTGCTACAACCCGCTGGAGGCGGGGAACAACGAGCGTCTCGAAGACATACATACGGAATTACACAGCTGGGACATCGTGTCATTATGTGGTACGTGCAGATGGGCAGGACTTGAGGCCGTACAGCGCACATACCTACCCTCGCATGTCGTACTACAGTTTAGGGCCCGAAAGGGCAAATGGGTCAACAAGAGTTGCGGGACAGCCTTACTAATCAGTCACAGGATAGACAGAGCCATCAGAGAGATATACACCCCACCAGCATGCGTCCAGGGACGGGTCTCCGGAGTCCGAATCGCCACCAGGTGATATGACTACCCCTTTTTTTGTGCACAACTACGCTCCTACACACGTCCCATACTACGCAGCACTGGTAGATAGTATCATTGGCTGGTTGTAACAACGCACAGACAAGCTAGGGTGCCGCACTACAGTTATCCTAGGAGGAAATGTGAACAGTCGCAGGCCTAGAGGTTGACACCAACACCAATGTCGGTGGTGTGCCTCCACCGAGGGAAGAAGATCCCGATCTCGGTGATGGTGGTTAATATTTTGGCTTCCAAGGCGACCGACATATTACCACCAACACTAAAATCTAGGATCATTTTCGCCCTGTGGAGGCAGCCCTCTGTGTAGGTGTTGGTGCCCATTTCCAGGCCTCCAACACAGTGACCCAGGGTGCCAGCGCGACTACGACGGACAATAATATGTAGCAGAGGTCCGACCATAGGTAGGCAGCAGCCGAAGATCGAGAACGCCACTGGCACCAGCTACAGAAACCTGTGCCGGACTAGCGACCTCAGCGTAGTCAGCACCAATACAGCTACGGACACTCGGGACACACCAGCAGAATAGACCACATAGCTATCCCGACTGGACCACTAGGGCTTGTAAAACAATGCGGCACTCCAACTATCAGGCAAACGATTCCATACCATAAAAGCGCGATGACACATATGCCACTTACCCATAGGGAGGCCTTGCGCTTCAGGCATCGACCGCCACTTCCTCCTTCCCCACTCGGCCCTGTATACAGCAAGGACTGTGCAGAGACGGCCTTATGG